TTATCAAATCTGTTTTACTATAAAATCGAGGGTCAAACCGCAAGGGAAATCTGCGGTGTACAAATTCAGTGAAATCAAGAAGAAATTTTAGGCAATCAGGGAAATCATAAAATTAGGGGAACTCAAAGAAAAACTTAAAGGAATCATAAGAAATCTTAAGGAAATCAATCAATCTCTAGATCTAACGCATATGCAGTTTTCAAAAATCTTTATAAAATGATGTTATGACGGGAACTCTTGGGCAATATTATTGATAATTAGAAGAAATCAGGGAAAATCATTGGAAATCATCCATGATTTCTCCTTAATCCGCAATCTAGTGTATAAAAACTGACCTGCGGTTTACCTAAATCTGATGTACAAGCTAGGGGAAATCTGAGGAAATCAAAGGAAATTATAAGGAAATCAACTAAAATCCTAATGATCTCGGGAAAAATCTTGAGAAATTCATGGGAAATCTAAGGGAAATCGGTCAATCTCTAAATTCCCAACGCATGCCAAAAATTTTAAAAACTGTAGATTTTTCTAATTCTTACAATTTGCTGAATTAGAGATTTTGAAAATTGAAGATCCTTGTCGAAAGTTATAAGTCAAGTTGCTCAAGCAAAATTCTGGCTTCGAAGTGACCGTTTTTTGAACTAATAAGTGCAGATTCTAATATCTTTAACTGTCAAAATAGTAACATTTGACAGGAATTAATTTTTTTACAAGCTCACTGGACATTCGTCTATCAAATTCAGCTTTGACAGCTGTCAAAAATTGCATAATTCAAGAGCTATATTTTTTTTCTAGGAAAATGACACACATAACAAAAAATTTGCAGAATTCAAAATTTTAAAGATTGTAGATTTTTTGTATATAATTTGAGCAGGTCATGTTATTAGGAGAACTCATGGGCAATCTTATTGGTAATCAGAAAACATCAGGGAAAGAAATCATGGAAAACTATCAATGATTTCCCTCGAAATCGCAATCTGGTGTACAAAAACTGACCTGCGGTTTACCTCTAGTACCTATAAACCAGTCTGTTTTTTTCTTGTAGATATGCAAAGAAGGCTTTATATTTCTTGTTTGTTTTTTTTTGAGCCTTGTCCGTAAAATCTCGAAAATTTTATGTTGATGTTGAAAAAGGGCAAACAAAACAAGACTCTCGACTTTCAAAACTCCAATCCTAATAACACAAAGACATCCCAAGAATATCCAGAGAATATTTAGTTGGATCAATCAGAATATTCCTGGAAGATTCTATTTAAATCCCGGAATATTTCAGGTGAAGCTTTGGGCATCAAAATGGATATAGTAGGAATGTCCTATTGAATCATTCCTAAAATATCTTCAATCATCCCACATAGTATATTCAGAATTTTTATGGAATATAGGAGGAACATGCACAGAACATTTTGAGGAGTCTTATGCGTGCTCATCATTTGTTGCAGAAGGTATCTGATTAAAATCTTCATAGAATCTTAAGTAGCCAAGTAAGATGCCCTCTCAGTCATAGATAGAAGCGTAGAATTAGAGAAAGATTTCAAACATTCAAATAATCAGCTCTGTATTGGAAGACACTCTAAAAGTTGTAAATGTGAAAAATGAAGGTTAATTTGTTCAATTAAGGCCGAAACTTCTACTGGAAAAAAAAACACCCTCTCTTGAAACAACCTCAACCGTCATTTACCAAAGCACCTTTAGTCAAAAAGTCAGACCCACATGGCAATATATATATGCACACACACAAGCAAAAAAAAGCTAACATTAATATTGATATATCAATGTATAAAAGTGACAGAAGGGGCGGCACGCCGCTCTCACCCTTTTGGCGAGCCCCACAGAAAAATGTATCGAGGGCCTTTAAGTATCGGTTATGAAATATGGGCGACCCTCCATTTTAACGTACAATAATAGAATCTCTACACCAAATTAGTATTGTTGTTGGCAAGTGACTGTGAATTGTTCAACTAATAAAGCAGCACTAAACGACAGCGATAAGGGGAACTAATATTACAATTGCAATTGATACCCATACTTATATATTATACCCTTATAGGACCATATTGGAATATTTTTGAAGTAGCTGAATTCTTTAAAGAAAGGCCATTTGATTGAAAATACATAATTCATTATGCGTAACTAAGTGTGTAATTAAGGAAGTTCTATATTTAAACGATTCAAAGAAAAAAATCACTTACACCTTCGTTTTGGTACGTTTAGCGGGTCATTGTCAGTATTAGTTTTGAATTTCAAATAGGAATTACTTTTGTTGTTGGTGAGAACGTGTTGATTTTTAAAAGGATTGAAAATTAAGAAAAAAAACAACTAAAATATTGGTTAATGGAAAAGCCAGTAGTGAACATAAAAGTCCAGATCAAAACAAAGTATAAAATGGTAATGGAAAATGACATAACAACTAGGTATAAGAAATACAAATTTACAAAAATTACAAAGGAAGAAAAAGGAAATCGACACAGCCTCTCTAGCTGGAACATAAGAAGAAATAGAAAAAAGGTGAAAATGGGCAATACCCTAATCAAATATTCCAACATGATGTTATAAAGATATTCAGTATTGATATTTAAATATTATTTGATTCTGAGTCTGAGTAAGGAATCACAGAAGAAAGACAAAAACTCCGAAGAACTTAGAACAAAAACAAATAAACAAACAGTAAATCAAAAAAGATAATAATGAAAAAAAAAAAATAGTCAAGAAGTTCTGTAGATCAAAAGTACGAAGATACAAAAAAATAAGATTCTGATGAACAAAAGGAAAAATATTCAAGCATACAAAGCAATGACGTAAGTGATGAACTACAAAAAGTTTCCATTCTATAAACTCAAAAAGTTTTCAGTTGTAAAATACCAAAATTTCATGAAGAAAAAACCAAGAATAATGGACAAATCTGAAGCCCTTGACGATTCTAGAAAATTCAAAACTCATGATTTAATTCCATCTTGCTTTTTCTCCTGGGATGTTGGTATTCTCATAGGTACCGCATATTTTTTTATTTATTTGTGAAGCTTTTATTTGTAATCTGCGAGAGTTTCATAAAGAAAAAACCAAGGATAATAGAATTGTGAATTTTCAAATAAATACAGTCAATAATGACCCATAAGTGGAATTTCGATTTTTCCCCTGGAAAATTGGTATTTCTATGGAAGGCGCGTATTTTTCCATAAACTCAGGAAGCTTTCAGTTTTCCAAATTTTCCATTGGAAAAAATCAAGAATAATGGACACATCTAAAGCCTATGAAGATTCTAGAAAATTCAAAAGAATCTCAAAACTCGTAATTTAATTCCATCTTGATCTTTCTCCTGGGTCCTGGGATGTAGGTATTCTCAAAGGTAGGTACCGCATATTTTTTTATATATTTGTGAAGCTTTTATCTATATTCTGCGGACATTTCACAAAGAAAATACCAAGAATAATGGAATTGTGAATTTTTAGATAATTATAGTCAATAATGACTCATACGGGCAAATTTCGATTTTTCCCCTGGAAAATTGGTATTCCTATGGAAGGCGCGTATTTTTCCATAAACTGAGGAAGTTTTTAGTTTTCCAAATTTTCCATTAGAAAAAATCAAGAATAATGGACACATCTGAAGCCTTTAAAGATTCTAGAAAATTCAAAAGAATCTCAAAACTCATGATTTAATTCCATCTTGATCTTTCTCCTGGGTCCTGGGATGTAGGTATTCTCAAAGGTAGGTACCGCATATTTTTTTATATATTTGTGAAGCTTTTATCTGTAGTCTACGGAAATTTCACAAAGAAAATACCAAGGATAATGGAATTGTGAATTTTTACATAAATACAGTCAATAATGACTCATACGTGCAATTTCGATTTTTCCCCTGGAAAATTGGTATTCCTATGGAAGGCGCGTATTTTTCCATAAACTGAGGAAGTTTTTAGTTTTCCAAATTTTCCATTAGAAAAATCAAGATTAATGGACACATCTGAAGCCTTCAAAGTTTCTAGAAAATTCAAAAGAATCTCAAAACTCATAATTTAATTCCATCTTGATCTTTCTCCTGGGTCCTGGGATGTAGGTATTCTCTAAGGTAGGTACCGCATATTTTTTTATATATCTGCGAAGCTTTTATCTGTAATCTACGAAAATTTCACAAAGAAAATACCAAGGACAATGGAATTGTGAATTTTTAAATAAATACAGTCAATAATGACCCATACGTGCAATTTCGATTTTTCCCCTGGAAAATTGGTATTCCTATGGAAGGCGCGTATTTTTCCATAAACTGAGGAAGTTTTTAGTTTTCCAAATTTTCCATTAGAAAAATCAAGATTAATGGACACATCTGAAGCCTTCAAAGTTTCTAGAAAATTCAAAAGAATCTCAAAACTCATGATTTAATTCCATCTTGATCTTTCTCCTGGGTCCTGGGATGTAGGTATTCTCTAAGGTAGGTACCGCATATTTTTTTATATATCTGCGAAGCTTTTATCTGTAATCTACGAAAATTTCACAAAGAAAATACCAAGGACAATGGAATTGTGAATTTTTAGATAAATACAGTTAATAATGACCCATACGTGCAATTTCGATTTTTCCCCTGGAAAATTGGTATTCCTATGGAAGGCGCGTATTTTTCCATAAACTCAGGAAGCTTTCAGTTTTCCAAATTTTCCATTAGAAAAATCAAGAATAATGGACACATTTGAAGCCTATAAAGATTCAAGAAAATTCAAAAGAATCTCAAAACTCATGATTTAATTCCATCTCGATGTTTTTCCTGGGTCCTGGGATGTAGGTATTCTCAAAGGTAGGTACCGCATACTTTTTTATATATTTGTGAAGCTTTTATCTGTAATCTACGGAAATTTCACAAAGAAAATACCAAGGATAATGGAATTGTGAATTTTTAGATAAATACAGTTAATAATGACCCATACCAAGGATAATGGAATTAGGAATTTTTGTTAATGTGATAAACACAGTCAATAATTGCCATGTTATACCCCATACGTGCAATTTCGTTCCTGTAAAATTGGTATACCTATGGAAGGCGCGTATTTTTCCATAAAATAACGAAGATTTCAGTTGAGGAATACGAAAGTTTCATGAATAAAAAACCGATAATAATGAAGTTGCGATTTTTTAAAATGTGTTAACTACTCTCAATGATACTTTGCCTTGACTTCCACCATCAATCTTGATTTTCCTAAAAGGTCCTTTAGATTAAAGAACTGTTTGGAAAAATAACGTTAAAGTCTGGAATAAGTACGCAATTCCGTAGATTCCTAATCCGTGAGAAAATTGAAAATTGTTAGACACCATAGAGAAACTAATGATGATAGCAAAAATCCATGAGGCGAAATTGAAAATTGTAACTCAAATTTGAAAATCATCCCTCTTAGACGAATAATATCATACATTTCATCCACGCTCAAAGAAAGTTCCGCCACTGTTCTAAAGCCAAACATCGAGCAAACAACATAATCCGTTCTCTAAACATTTAGAGTCTCATTGTACACACATAGAGCGGAGGTAAACTGCGGAAGCTATAGATCGAATTCGACGAAATTTAGGTAAACTACGAAAACCGAAAATAAGTTCCGACAAAGGGCCCCGACAAGGGTGTAATTTGCAATAGTGACAACCAGAAAGATTACCCAGGCTCGGATGCGGTTAAACGATCCAGGAACTATTTGCACAAAGGGCAAATAGAATTTACATTATTAACTGATTTAAAAACCTTGAATGATGAGTTCCCGACCCTGACTGATTAATATTTAAAAAAAAAAAACTAACTGTCGACTTTAATGAAATCGTTTAAGGCGAATCACGTCAAACCGTTCAAATATAAATACGCTCGAATTGCCGTCGATTGTTATCAGTTCGATATCGGCGAACGTACCACAAAGAACCCAACCAGCACCAAAAAAAAAAAAAACAATGAAGGTACGTAACCACCTTTGAATTTGAATTGATTGAGTGCAACGGATCATAAATTAAGGACAATGTTCCAACCAAAAAAACAACCAGGCGAAGATAGTAGTAGTAGTAGTAATAATTGGGCCATATTTATCGATGTATGTATGTTTGTATATTTAGTTTTTAATTTTCTTTTTTTAGTACTTTACAGCTATCGTCTTAGTTATCGCTGCGGTGGCTTCTGCCGAACTTCCATCGAATAATAGAGGTTTTTTGGCACAAGAACCACCCTACGCAGCAAGAGGATTTAGGCCTGCAGGGCCTGCTTTTAATCTACCTCAAAGGTAACTATTATTGATTGAAACCAATATTTGATAATTGAGTATTGTTTAAAGGCAACAACAACCACCTACAGCTTATGGACCGCCATCAGCTACTACAACCGAGGTTCCAACTACAACTGAAACCATTGAAACTACGACTATTTTGGAACCACAAGTAAGTGAACTGAGTGTTTTTAATAATAGTGCAAGTTTTTCACAATTTTTGGGAAGATATTAATAATCATTGTCGAGATTCAGATCTGCTATATTTTCTAGTAAATGCTTGAAGTTTTTCTCGAAATTATTCAAAGAAAAATAAGGTTTTCAATTCCGACTTTTCCTTTTGTCATTTGACTGATTCATATCTTTACCTACAGCCGAAATGATGATCAGATTGTCTCCAAAACCATATAGATATTGGATAGAATATTTATATTATGTTCCTCAGATTTCCCTGTTTCTTGATTGACTTGGGTTTGATTTGGTCCAGAGTTGTTGAGGTCTATTTGCTTGCATGTTTGCAGTGTTTTTATATTTTTTATGAAGTATAAAACTTCAAATATCTCTGCAATGATTCCTATTCCTTCTTCTTGTAGTCGATAAAAATAACTTTTATATACATACTTATATAATGTCTTTTTTTTTTGTCCAACACCTAATTTCAATCCTGTGATGAGAGATTTCTGTCACTCATGGTTTTCCTCGTTTTCTTCTACCTGTTGGTTGTCAATACAGCATTTTTCTCAGCCACTAGGTATTTGGCATTCGTTCTACGTGTCCGTACCAGGCAAGTTTTTCCTTTCAATGTCCTGAACTATCGTTCCTTCTATTTCCATATGTTGTTTTACATTGTCCTTCCTTATTCTCTCTCTTCGTGAGATTTGCATTATGGATCTTCTAATAGCATTCATTTCAACCGCTTCCACTTCTTTTTTTTATCTGTCTGTAATTCTCCAAAGAAGGCTGCTCCTCATCATTGTCTCGTAGGTATATAGGTATTAAATTTTCTCTTCATTATTTCCATAAGATTCCATTTAAGCAATCTATTACTTTTTCAGCTTTAACTATTCGCTTTTCCATTTCTTTCACATCTGTTTCGATGTTGTCGAATGTGATACCTAGATAGGTACTTACTCATATTGCAGAATTTCCTGACCATCGTCCATTTCCAAATTTCTGTTCTGGGCGCCTAGACATAGATATTTTGTTTTATTTATATTAACTCTCAGGCCCCATCAGGGACGTAGCAAGTCAAAACCGGGCCTTGGTGCAAGACTAGAGCACAGCGGGCCCCCTTCACCATAGGCATCGGAAGGTTCAAATTTTCAAATTCATTGACGGGAAGGGGTTATGGGCAAAATGGCGCATGGCTTTTTTTGTAACAAGTACCTAAATTAAGGTTTTTGGGCAACCGTTCTGAAAGTAGATACATATTTTCCGAACGCGTTTTACTTAAAAAAGTATGCCTTTTTCAGGCTAGGTCGGCATGTGATTACTTAGGCCAAGAAGTGATTATTTTCTAACCTAGTCTGGAAAGTATGTTCTTTCCGGCCGAAAAAAATAGTATACGTAATACTCCCGGAAAGTGTTTTTTCGGACTCGCAGACTGGAATCTTGTCTACTCGTCCAAAAAAACAGTACTTTCCGGACTCCTCACGCAATATACTATTTTTGTGAGTCCGAAAAACTCCAAAAATTGATAGAATTCCGTTGACAAAAATGTGAAGTATATGTGACATTAAAAATTTTAAACTGATTACGTATTGGCATTGTTGTGGCAAGAGCGCCAAGTATTTTTTTTTCTGATTGCTATAACGACTTTTAGGGACTAGGCCGGAAATGAAGCATTTTACGGAATGAAATGTGTCCGTAAAATAGACATTTTTAAGAGCTAAGAGCTAATATACGACTGAGATTGACAATATTGACACGAGTACTAGGAGTCGGAGGACTGACTGAAAAGAAATCTGTAGAAATCGATATTACAGTTTTCTGTTTCGGTTTAAAATCGCCAATGCGAATATTCTTTGGGCGGGCGTAAAATGATATTTTGTTTTTCTTGTATGTTGTGTCCAAAAAGCGACAGGGCACGCCGGGCCCTTGTGCGCGGCACGACCTGTTGCTACGTCCCTGAGCCCCATTCTTGGTACTCTTCTATCAGCACAGGCACCTATCTATCTATTTATCTCTATACCTATTCCATGGATCTTCCTCTTTCAATTTTTAAGTGCTGCTACCACGTATATTTTGAAAAGCATAGGAGAGATACATCCTTGACGTAGTCCTTTATTTACTATAAATATGTAATATGTCTGTAAGTCTTTTCAACTATCTTAATTCTCGATTGTGCCGTTATATAAGGTGTGATTGATATTGCATTGTTCTAATGCTTTCCATAGTCTAGATACTGAGACTGTATTGTATGCTTTTTGTAGGTCCACAAATGTGAGGTGGGTTTCCAAATCTCTAGCAGATCTCTCTTCTATGACTTGTTTTAGGCAAAATACGTTGTCTGTACCTGATCTTCTTGCTCTAAATCCGCACTGCTCTTCTCCTTTCTCTTTATAATCTTCCTCAATGGAATCACGCAGGATTCTACTGTACAGTCTGCTTAGTGTGCTTGTAACTGATATGCCCTGATAGTTATTGCAATCTAGCTTATTTCCTGTTTTGTGAATGGATGATATAAAAGCCTTTTCCCAGTCTTGTGGAACAAGATGTCTATTAAGGCATTTATTGATAATACATGTGAGACCTTTATACTCCAATATGTCTTGGATAATCTAATATACAGGGTGAGTCCGAAATAAGTGCGCATTTTGATATGATGGATGAAGTACCGAGGGACAAAACTTTTTGCATAGGTACACATGTCCACAAACATCTCGAAAATACAGAGTGTTGAAATTTTCGGAAATATTGACTTTTTGTCTTTAGATTCAAAATGCCTCAAGTGATTTTGTTCAAATTGTTCAAGACCCTGTATATTCCGGTCTATTTTCTTGTAAGAGACCCTTGTAGTGTTCTATTCATTGTTTTGTTTCGATTACCTGGATATTAGCTCTGTTCTTTCCTGGATTTTTGACAGATATAAATCTTTATATCTTTGAGCATTTCCTTCCTCCTATGCAGCTGTTAATTTCTTCACATTTCTTATCTCATGACTCTCATGCACGTTCTTAGTTGTCTGTGTCTTTATAAACTTCAAAGTCTTATTCATTATTTCTTGTTAGTCATTTCAGACATTTTTACTTCTCTTGTACTAAAAAACCTTTACAGTCATGAAGTTCTTTTGTCTTTAAAAATAAGTTATTTCTTATATCTTTATGTCTCCAATAAGTCTGAAATCTTGCTTCAAACTTAATAGGCCACGGTAGAAACTTTTTTGTTTATCTAAAGACATTTTGTTCTTCTCCATCTTTTTCTTTTTTGTCTTTACTTTTTAAGCTTCTTCTGCTTAGACAAGGAAAGAGAGAGGTCGCGTAACATCCTTTACCTGCACTAGCAGCTGAATGTGACCGAAAATGCCATTATTTGGTGACAAACTTTCATGGTGTCACTATGCGAATTTTAGTTCAGAGTAATATTTTTTGTGGTATTTAGCATGGTGGATTGTTCAGCGTATAACTGCAAAAGCCGCAGAGAGAAAAAAGTGAACGGGATTACATTTAACAGGCAAAAAACAATACGATTTCTAGATTATGTTATGAAAAAAGCAGACATTTTTTGGTGACAACTTGCCTCATTTACACCTGCTATGATACGAGTCCCCTCTCTTTCTTTGTCTGTTCTTCTGCCTTTTTTCTCTTCTAGTGTGTGTATCGATTATGTTTTTTCCACACCTGGACACCTGCTTATCTATAATAATTATATTAAAAAGTCTTCAACTTTTATACTCTTTTATTATTTAGTTTTTGTCATTGTTAGGATTCTGACAATAGCCTGGAGAATTTTTACCTACTTTTTATGTATCTACACTCTCTGGTTTCAGTACTATACTTTAAGCACAATGATAGATTATTTTTTATTTATTTTTGAATATTGGTAATTTTGTTTTTATTCCCGGCGCTTGAGTCTTCCTTATTTTTTTTAAAGGAAGAAAATTAAGAGAAAACAGAAATTCAAGAGGCTGGAATGGTAAAAATATTGACAATAAAGAAGTGAGAAATAGAGAAGAGAAAATTGAGAAAAATTCATAATTTTTGTTTCTATTCCACGCTCTTGAATAAGTCTCACTCTTTCATGAAAAGAAATTTAGAAAAAAAAACAAAAATTCGAAAGCCTAGAAAACTCAAAAATTGACACGAAAGAAAAGAGAAATTTAGGAATAGTCTTTTTATGAAAAGAAATTCAAGAACCTGGAATAATGAAAAATTGATACTTAACGAACAGAGAAATAAAGAGGAAAAATTTATGGAAAATTCACAATTTCCTCTTTATTCCAGACTTTTGAATGTTCCCTATTCTTCTATGAAAATGAAATTCAGGAGCCTGTTATAAATTAAAATTAACAATAAAAAAAACAGAACAGACGAAAATTTAAAGAAAAAAAAAAAAATTGGTGTGTAGCGCCATACACGTGGTAAAAGTGAAACTTCTTGAAAACCGTATGACAGAGATTGAAAGTGCAAAAGAGGGAAAAAGAAAGAATTTCAAGAGAAATACAACAGTCATACAGTGTGCTCTTTTTATCTTGATGCCATTTTAAACTGTCATAAATTTCTTTGTTTTTGAAGTTATAGATAAATAAAAAAAAATCATGTGCAGCGCCGTACACTTGGTAGAAATGAAACTTCTTAAAAACTATCCCCCCCTCATACAACTTTTAAACTAATGGTCGGTTTACATTTTGTTAACTGCAAGTGTTCAGTTTCAAATGTAGATTTGACATGTTGAGGACCGGTTTATCAGTGGACGGTTATTTAGTTTAGCTGTTAGTTAGCTAATAATTATTATTAGCTAACCGACAGATAGCCAGTCCAGAGAGATAATCCACTGATAAACCGGTGCTAACTGTGACTAAATAGAAAAATAGAACACGATTTGATTAATGGCAAGTTTACATTTTGTTGAGTACAAGTGTTCAGTGTCAAATGTTAATTTGACATGTTGAGTGTTACTAAACAGAAAAATAGAATACGATTTGATTTACTTGCACTTATCACTCTATCACTAATCACTTGACAGATCCTGGTACAGTTGGGCAACTAAATACTAGCACTACACACCTGCACTTGCTACTAATCAAAGTGTAAAACGGCTTTTACTTGCAGTTGTAGCTTGCACTCTTGCACTTATTACTTAACACTAATTACATGACAGATCCGTTTAGAATTGAACAACTGAACACATAACACTACTACAGCCCTACATACCTGCACTTGCTACTAATCAAAGTGTAAACCGGCCTTTAGCGTATGAGTCGGGGTAAAAACGAATAGGGTGTTCATTTGTACTGCTTTTCTTGCTTCAAGCAGATCTCAGCAGCAGATCAACGTTCACTTGTCCCATATATAAACTCATAAATAGCAGATCTTCCTGATATTTCGAGCAGGTAGAACAATTACAAATGAACAGCCTAAAGAGGAGACGCGCATCTTTACTGACGTCACAAGCAATTCGATCAGTATCAACTGTTGAAAGATTAATAAACTATCTAGGGGCCGAATTTATAGTAGCTCCTTGAGGTTTCCTCAGACCTTAGGGAAACCTTGAACGTTTAGAATTGACATGACTAACTTGTCAAATAGTAGGTATAGCAAGTGTCCATTCTAAACTCACGACCTCCAAGGAGGACTCAAGGAACAACTATGAATTCGGCCGTAGGTGGAGCTAGTTTAGTTACCGAACGGAAGGATCCGCAGATGCCAAATGACACCTCCCAACAATCCTAACCTCAACAGACATTATTTTGATTTTTCGATTTTAATTTTAATCTCAAGTTCTCAAATTTGCATTTTTTTGGCTTGTTGCTGTTGAAGATGCATGCCACATTTATTTTAAAGGCAAAGCAATCAACAAACAACTAAAAAGTTGGGTTAGGAAAAACAGCTAAGGGCTGCCAATCGTATTTACCCCGCATTTTCCAGGGTCGATATGTAATCCAAACACCGAACAGCCCGATCACTTTTCTTACACTGATCCTAGATCCCTTTCCGTACGTCGAGAATGGTGATCGGGTTAACCCGATCATAGTCTCCGTAAGCAGCTAATAATAGTTTATAATCCTTAGTTTATGTCAATCATTCATCGGCTGTCATTGTTATTGGCTGTCTTTCTTCGTCCCTCTACGTTATAATATTCTTCTCTCTCGTGTAACGAAATTTGCCAAAACGTCACGCGTCTTTCAAATCACTCTCCATTCCCGTCCAAATATCAGACCGCCTCCTAAGAAGGCACAGAACACAAATGTATAAATACCTAACGAAAATAATCAGAAAATACAATGATAGTAGTCTAACAAAAGGGAGACGCGTATCTGTATTGACGTCACAAGGGTATCGGCGCTTGACAATAATAGGCAATCCTTTTTGCGCTTATAATCCTTGATTTGTGGCAATCAGTGACTGTTTTTCTCCGCTTCTAATATCATTTTTGATAATATTTCAACTATTTTAATATATTTACATACATACTGATGGTTCACAGATGTAACCAAAAAAAATCACAGCACACAAATGTATAAATCACAAAACACAATGATAATAGTATAACAAAAGGGAGACGCACATCTATAGTGACGTCACAAGGGTATCGGCGCTTGTCAATAATAGGCAATTCTCTTTGCGCCCATAATCCTTGGTTTGAGTCAATCAATAGCTATATTTCTCCGTCTCTTTACGTTATATCTTTCTTCTCTCTCGAGTAACGAAATTTGCCCGTGACGAGTTTTTCAAATCACTCTCCATTGTCGTTTAAATATCAGACCGCCGCCTAAGAAGTTTCACTTCAAAATTGTTATATTTTTGAAGTAAAACTTTTTAGGCGGCGTTCTGATATTTGAACGACAATGGAGAGTGATTTCGTGATTTGAAAAACGCGTCACGGGCTTATTTCGTTATTCGAGAGAGATGAAAGATATAACTAGAGAGGCGGAGAAAGACAGCTATTGATTAACACAAATCAAGGACTATAAGTGCAAAGAGGATTGCCTATTATTGACAAGCGCCGATATTGACACAAACCAAGGATTATAAGCGTAAAAAGAACTGCCTATCTTTGACAAACGCCAATAACATTGTGACGTCATTACAGATGCGTGTTTCCCTTTTTTTATACTATTATCCTTGTGTTTTGTAATTATTTTCGTTATTTATACATATTTGTGTGTGTGCTCAGTGTGTTGTGATTTTTTTTGAAGTGAAACTTCTTATGTCTGATACAACTGCGAAATTCGCAATTTTTTATATTGCTTCGACCAATTGACGTTTTATGCGTGAATTAAACGTCAAATTGTCGAAGAAATGTCAAAAAATTGCGAATTTCGCAGTTATGAGTACTAGGCTTTAGGCGGCGGTCTGATATTTGAACGAGAATGGAGTCTGGATTTGGAAGTAGAACGTCATTGTTTGAAAGATGCGCCACGTTTTAGCAAATTTCGTTATACGAGAGAGAAGAAAAAAATATAATGTAGAGGAACGGAGAAAGACAGACAATGCCAATGACAGCCGACGAACAATTGACACAAACCAAGGATTATAAACTATTATTGTCAAGCGCGGATACCCTTGTGACGTCACTACAGATGCGCGTTTCCCTTCGTTTCGTAGCTTCGTCTCTACCCCTATTTTGCCATATGAAACACGCCCTTGCGCCTCATACGGAAAGTGTCAGTTAAAAATCGACGAACAATATTCATATGCTAAGTTTAAGTTGTATGAGGGGAAAGATAGTTTTTAAGAAGTTTCACTTCTACCATGTGTACCTACGGCGCTGCACATAATTTTTTTTCTTCATATTTCAGGATTTCCAATATTCCCTATTCTCTTATAAAAAAAGTTAGAAGAAAACGGAAATTCAAGAGCCTGGAATAGTAAAAAATTGACACTTAAGGGTCGGTTTCTCAATAGCGAATCACCTCCGGGTTGGTCATAACTCCAGGGTAAACGAATCCAGTTGTAATGTTTACCCTGGAGTTATGCTCAACTCGGAGGTGACTTACTATTGAGAAACCGGCCCTCAGAGAAGAAATTTATGAAAAATTCACAATTTCCTTCTTTACATTTGACCCAGTATTTCCTTCAACTAACTACTTACTACACATTGATCAAGCATTATAATTTAAGGCGTGACAAATGTATCTTCTTATTGTCTTTGAGAGTTGTTTGTATTATTTTATTGTTTTCTCTATATACTGTGTTGTATTGCTACTTTCTTAACTGATCCTTGTTTTGCGTTATAAATCTACCATCTACTCCTTTTTTTGTTTTCATGACTTTTGCCAGTCAGCTGCGAAATTCTTAGACACGCACTTCAAATGAGAGTCAAACTTTCAATTCTTTCATCAAACAACTTATTCTGTTCAAACTTCAGCCCAAGTTTGATTTTAGCTCCCAGAACTCTCTGAACATTCACTGAATCTCTCAAAGATGTAACTTACAACTTTTATATAGAAAAGGTACTTTTTGCCATGTTGTCTGGTGATACCTTGATCCATTTTCTATTGACTTTTTTCACCAAGAAACTCTTAACATCACACATATTTTGTTGTTCTGATGAAACAAATAAAGTAACTCCCTATCATTTCTAGATTCATATCCAAAGGTGCCAGTTTTGTATTCAGATTTCTAGATTTATAGCTTAACGACAAAGTTAATTCTAACATAAAAATTGACTGAAACTCTTTTTTTTGTTATAGGTCGAAAGTTTCCGTGTAACTCCTGATGTGGACCAAACACAACAACAACAGAACCCTGGAGCTTTCTACGTTGTAGTACCGCAAAACCAATTATACGCTTCAGCCAAGCTGGTGCAACAACAACCACGATTGGTGCCGCTTCAAGCAGTACCAGCATTCGCCAAAATCCAAGAAGTACCAACTTTTGCCAAAATCCAAGAAGTACCAACTTTTGCCAAAATCCAACAAGTACCAACTTTCGCCAAAATCCAAGAAGTACCTCAATTCGCTCAGCTAAACTACAACTACAACGTTCCTTTGGTGGCTTCTTCCGCTTACACATCATTCGTCAGTACTCCTTATAGTTCTAGTTACATTCAAAGTTTCCAATGATTGTTGTTACGAAAAAATAAATAATTTAATCGTTTAATCCGACCGAGATTAAATCCCATTAAAACGAATCGTTTGTGGTTGCACAGAGTTGGGGAGCCCGAGGGCGGATATCAAAAAGCGGCAACAGTATCAAAATCGAAGAGTGTGCAAGTGACACATTTCGTTAAAAATGCAAGGGGGCTCGAAATGCCCCCAGGAGACCGGGCAGGGTAATTGAAATTTTCCCCAACAATTCGTGCAATTTTGCAAACAAACGCTCTAATGAAATTATTACGCATTAATTAAAATTTATTCAATTTGTTCAGTTATGCTTTGTTGTGCACCAATTATGGTATGCGCGCAAAATGATTTTCCAGAAATTCAAAACATCAGCGGCAGCCTTTTTTTTTTTCTGCCGGATTTATAATTGAAACTTCAGACAAAAAGCAGATTAAATGTTTTGCTGTGTTGTATGTTTTGCTGCATGTGAAAGCGCTGATGAACGCTATATTGTAGCTAAATCCGTATTTTTCATCAGCTGCAGAGGATTGGGTTTATTATTATAATTTTCGAGCAAAATATTGGAATTAGATATAGAATTTTGTGTTTTCGATGATTCGCCATACTAAATGTACAGTTCTGCCATCTATTAGAGAGAAGTCTAACTAAATAGTGTCGCCCTCTATTAGAGAGATTCATAAATCCTTGCGTAGATTCTGGAAACGAGAAAGGGCACAGTTGAAGACACAGATTTACCATACCTATTATTTTTATCATAAGTCAAAATACGAGTGTATTTTGTGTCAATCAAGTAATTAGGAAACGGTACAGAGTGTTACAAAAGAAGTCGTACCTACATTACCTGTTTCAAGCATGTGTAGCGTTATTTCGGTTTTCCTTGCACTGTTCGGGGTGCTACTGACTTGCGGTTATTTAACCGTCGGTTTACTCGGGCGCCACCCTCGGTATTCGAGTGGTCAAGGGCCCACTTGGTCCAGGTAGTATATCGTGATATGAGAACCGTTCCAGAACCAGTAATTTCCAGCTTCTCACCTATTTTTCAATTAGTTGAACGTTTATCCTACTTGACAAATGAATTGATCGACTGGAAATTACCGTTCTAGAACGGTTCTCATGTCAATTGGAACAGAGCTTGTAACGCAGATTAGGATAGAAAGTTGTAAATGATAAAAAAAGACCTTATGATGATAGGTAGTAAAGCCGAAAAGAAATAGAAAAATTCTTTTGGCAATTTCAAAGAAATTCTAGAAGAAAATCTACTGATTTTACTCGGGGATTCCTCAAAATTGGAAGTCAACTTTTTTCGAATCTCGATAATACAAAATATTCTATCCGATAGAGAGAAAGCGAAAAGAAAACGAAAGAGTGTCTTGGCAATTTTACCTAAAATGCTTCCTAAAGGAGTTCCAGAAATCTCTCCTTTCTACTGGGGGACTGATACAGATAGCAAAAAGAAAACGAAAACGAAAAGGTTTCTTGGCAATTTTACGTAAAATGTTTCCTAAAGGAATTCCAGAAGAAAATCTCTCCTTTATAATGGAGATTCCCCAAAATTGGAAGTTTATTTTTTTCGAATTTCGATAATACAAAATATTCGATCTGATAGAGGAACCGAAAAGAAAACGAAAAGGTTTCTTGGGAGTTTCACGTAAAATGCTTCCTCAAGGAGTTCCAGAAGAAAATCTCTCCTTTTTACTGGGAATTCCCCAAAATGGGAAGTTAACTTTTTCCGAATTTCGATAATACAAAAATATTCTATCCGATAGAGAAAACGAAAAGGTCTCTTCGCAATTTCACGTAAAATGCTTCCTAAAGGAGTTCCAAAAGAAAATCTCTCCTTTTTACTAGGGACTCCACAAAATGGGAAGTTGATTTTTTTCCGAATTTCCTATTCGGTAGAGATAGTGATGCCAGATATTCTCGTTTCTTGTCTCATCTCATCTCGTAGTTAACTTATGATGCGTCGAAACTTTACAACAGACGAGAAAAAATGAGACGAGACGAGAGAAGAGTTTTCTCGTCTCGAGACGATAGGTTCATTTTCTCTCGAACCTTGGAGACAAAACGAGAGAGAGCATATTCTCGTCTCGTGGCATTACTAAATGATGGAGTGTCTTTAAAAAAATCATCTGAATTAACTGAAGAAAACCATCTATTTAAAATATTATTTCTTTGAATCTTAATTTAAAAAAAAAGTTTACTGAATAAAAGTGAATGTTGCAACCATGTATGCGCCCTCAAGTTTAGGATTGAACGAGCGCGCTACAGAAAACGAAGGTACCGAAACCGAAGAGGATACAAGAGAATACGCAAATAGACTACAGAAAGAGCTGGACTGGTCCCTTAGAAAACGTATCGCGTGTCTGTAATTATTCATTATTCAATTTTCATTTCTATTTTGCATTAAAATTGATTGTTTAATCCAATTTGTTATCAGTGTGTGTGTAAGGAGCGTTCACAGGTTAGTGAATTAAATGTTATTTTGTTTTTGAGAGTTCAATTTATGCAAGTTCCTATTATTTTGTTCATTTTTATGTATTTTTTGTTTGTTTTTATAACATGTGCAGTGTTCATGTATTTAAAAAAAATCGTTTCATACTGTAAACAACACAGATAAAGAAGTAAATTAGAACCTAAGAAATTATGTGCTGTCTTTTTGTGCTGAGATTTTGATTTTGTGGATTTAGAGCGTGCATTAGGGCCTTGTTGAAATTACTAACATTTTCCTACCCTGACGAGAGAATATCCTAGCAAATTGAAATAATCAATCTAGAGATATTGGCTCAAAAACAACTATAGCTGAGTAGCTTTCCGTATGGGACCTCAGTACCTGTTGTGAAACTGGCTAACAAAAAAACTTTTCAGTATTGAATATAGGTAGTGTTGATTGAATGTAGTGTGTGTAATAGAAATTTTAGCACAAAGACAAAGGATGGTACCTAATTTAAACTTTAATTGACTTAAATTATTGAATTAATGACTCACAATTATTATTAAAATGACACAGTATGTTTCGATTTTTGAGGAATGTTAGATCGAGGGTTTCTCTGCCGTGCTCTTTCCCCTCGTTAGTTCCAGGATGAGAACGGTACGATTTACTTTAATAATAAAGTAGACGTTTCACAAATTCTGCAATTGTAACTTCTGACGTAGGTATTATGAATAATTCAAACTAAAAAATCAATACGAGTTTCAAATATCCATAATTTACCCTTGTGACGATATTCCTTATTTCCAAACCTAAATTGGCAAGAATGTCGCCCCTTCTAAAATAAAAATATCAAAAGGATTTCGGCCCTCTCACGAACAAAATCAGTGTCAACAGACAAACGATATTAAGGACCCTATCTTTTTTTTTTTTGATACTATAATCAATATTTTCCATATTAGACCTATAGCTAAAGAGGATTTTAGTTGAATTTGAGTCTTCCACTTCAAGATCCTTATGAAAAGGACAACATTTCCATAAGTATTTCAGAATGTCTCACTTGTATTTCAGATTTATCAATTCTAGTTCCATTGTATTCCAGTCCAAGTTTAATTTCAGGAAGTATTATTTTTATTTCAACTTTGTCAGTTGTAGTTCAGAACACGTCATTTGTGTTTCAATTTGGTCAGTTGTATTTCAGAAAAAGTCATTTGTATTTCAGTCATGGTCAGTTCTATTTCAGATCAGAAAACGTAATTTGTAATTCAGATTATTTATTTGTAGATCAGAAATTGTATTGTATTTTAGAATTCGTCAAAGGTATTTCAGATGTTATCAATGTAGTGTATTAATAATTAAATGAAATTTATAATGAGTCACCTAGACACCTAGCTTGTGATGATTTGAAGAAATTTGCGTAAGTACCTAATGCTCTCTGAACTACATCTGACAAATTCTAAAATATGATTCACGTTTCCTGAAATACAATCATGGAAAAGGTATAGAAACGTTTTAAAACTGAAATTACTGGAACTTGACAATAGTTTTTTTCAGGCCTTGTAGTTTGTTCTAAAGTTTCAGAGTATATAATAAGATTGTGTTAATGTTAATGAATCCTAACGAGTTCGTCTGACAAAATTATTTTTCATTTTCGAGTCAAATCCCTCTTTAATATCACAAGATGGATCTCCATATTCCAACAACGACCGCAAAATATCCTCTTCAGGAAGTTTCGAATAATAATTTAACTCTCGCAGGACGACCTCCCTTAAAACAACGCACAATCGTAAACGAGAGAGGGGCCCTCTCACAAAGGAAAATCGCAGCCAGCGTCAGCGCCATATAGTAAAACGTGGGAGCTGCTTTGTTTAAAAACTTCCAACATTTCTTGTTTTCGAGATTTTTATCATATGTTGTTGTGTATCTTGAAGAAAGGATTTGGTGCTCTTTTTATTTCAAAGAGACTCTCTGCGTATCAGATGCGAAATTGTAATATAACTAGATTTTCATGCGAAGCTATTATGATATTTTTGTCATCAAAAAATAAATAACGCATAGATACAATATTGTTATTCATACTGAGGCTCTATTAATTTGGCAAAATCCTGAATTTTTCACTTTACTTTCTCGTAACGATTATATTTATATTGGATTGAGGAAAACCACCTATTTAAAATATTAATTTCTTTGAATCCTAACTTAAAAAAAAAACTTACTGAATAAAAATAAATGTTGCAACCTTGTATGCGCCGTGAAGCGTACTGAAGGGTACCAAACCGAACGGGAGCTAGAGAAGAGGCGATTAGGCATTAGAGAGACTTGAGAACAAGCTGGGGCTGTTCCTTTAGACGCGTGTCTGTAATTATTCATTATTCAATTTTCATTTCTATTTTGCATTAAAATTGATTGTTCAATCCAATTTGTTATTAGTGTGTGTGTAAGGAGCGTTCACAGGTTAGTGGATTAAATGTTATTTTGTTTTTGAGAGTTCAATTTATGCGAGTTCCTATTATTTTGTTCATTTTTATGTATTTTTTGTTTATTTATAACATTTTTTATAATATGTGCATTGTTTATGTATTTAACCAAAAATCGTTTCATACTGTAAACAACACAGATAAAGAAGTAAATTAGAACCTAAGAAATTAGGTGCTGTATTTTTGTGCTGAAATTTTGATTTTGTGGATTTAGAGGGCCTTGTTGAATTTATTAACATTTTCCTACCCTGACGAGAGAATATCCTAACAAATTGAAATAATCAATCTAGAGATATTGGCTTAAAAACAACTATAGGTGAGTAGCTTCTCGTATGGGACCTCAGTATCCGCTGGGAAACTGGCTAACTAACCAAAAACTCTTCAGTATTGAATATAGGTAGTGTTGATTGAATCTAGTGTGTGTAATTTTAGCACAAGAACAGGGATGGTACCTAATTTAAACTTTTATTGACTTAAATTATTGAATTATTGACTCACAATTATTATTAAAATTACACAGTATGTTTCAATTTTTGAGGAATGTTCGATCGAGGGTTTCTCTGCCGTTCTCTTTCCCCTCGAGAATTCTAGGACGAGAACGGTACGATTTACTTTAATAATAAAGTAGACGTTTCACAAATTTATCGTTTCTTTTACATATCACAAAATTCCCTTAAATTTCCCTAATATTTGCATGTCGGGCGCATGTCTAGTAAGTAAAATTATGTAAGTTTCCACAACGTAGGCCGTACTTGTTTTTCATTTAGTTTTTCAGAATATTTGTTGTTTAAAAGGTAATAAAAATTCTCATCGTTCAATCTTACTGAGCGAACCCAGGTATGTTATACTACAGGATGAAACAATAATTATGTTCTTATTAAAAATCTATCTTCACAAACTTTACTTCCTTACCAGTTTCCAGGAAGTTTTTCCTTAGTAGGATATTTTTAGTAAATAAAACAAGTTGAATGAGAAGTTGAGGCTCAACTATTATAGGATTATGAATTTTTTTCCAAGTCAATACTTGGAAATCTGAAAATTACTCTAAAAGTCATCAGAACGACTCCAAACATTCAGGAAATAATATCGATGTTCTATGGAACAAACCGTAAGTAATTCTGAAGGTCAAAAATAGAATTATGATTATTTTATCTACTTCAATAATAATACTTATGAGGCATGAAATTCCTGTTGAATCAACTTTTAAAGTTCTCGACTTGAGAAATAATTGACAGAATCAAAATAACTTTAAACCATCAGAATTTATTAACTAAAGTCTTTCCATCAATTTCCATCGAAGTGAATATAGGCTTGAAAATACACTTCAATACTCAAAATAGGAGAAAAATTCCCGCCTAAAACCATAGAGAGACTGAATGATTCTTCCATAATGTCCTCTACTTTAATTTTCGATTTTTTTTCTGGAAAGTTGGTATACCTGAAAGAACTACCAATTTTTTTAGAAGCTCCTGAAGTCTTTGGCTCTAAGATACCAAAACTTCATCAGGAAAATGTCAAGGATAATAAAGTTGTAATTTTTCAAATAGAATAGAGAGACTGATTGATTCTTCCATCATATCCTCTACTTTCATTTTTGATTTTTTTCTGGGAAATTGGTATTACCTGAAAGAACTATACCTAGTGATGATTAAAATCTTATTTTTTAGCGGCTGTTGACTGCCTTCACCTCCAGACAAATTTTCTAGCGAATGCAAAAATATTAACTAACGAATCAAGTGCCGATAATAAATAAAATTTCCACTTTCACAGGCTCAGGTATCCATTTCAATACTCAAATAGGCGTAAAATTCCAGTCAAATGATTTTTGAATGATTCTGAAAAATGCATCAAGGAATTAGAACGACCTAAAACTTCCCAGATCTGATAATTAAAATCGTCCTATATGGAACGATACAAACCAAAAATAGATCTAAAGATGTTTACCTTTCAAAAAATTTGATTTTCTGATCTTAAAAAGTTAAAGGAAGACAAAGGGAATATTTAAAATACCTAGAAATATTGTTCTCCCTTCTTGTATGTTTGGGCTTTTGTCCCTAGAATTCAATTCTTATTATCTTCTACTTATGCAATTCTGGTTTTAAAGCAGATTTAGTCAATTCAAATCAGTTTTGTTGGCAAGAATTGACTTGAGTAGTCAGTTGACAAATCAATTTTTACCTTTTTTCGTGCTTCCTTCGTCTGACAAAATCGTCGGCGGTGGACTGAGCGGTTGCAATGGAAAAGTGTTACCAGTAGAGTACCAAGGAGAAGGTCTCCAACTCGTCTGATTTCCATTAAGCAACCTCAATTTGTCATAGACGCTGTCACTACTGTTCGACGTCGGAGGATTTTGCGAAGACTGTTCTTTTTGAGCCGCTATGTTACGAAGAACCCTATTGATTGACGAAACCTGGAAATTAAAAAAAAAAAACTAATCATATTTTTGTTTTTTAAATGGAAAATTAATAAGTTTTAAACTCAATATTCTCGTGAACAAAGCGCCGCAGGCATGATAATCTAGTATCAAAAGCGTCGCGACGCTTATAAGGGACGCGCCATCAAAAGGGGGGGTGTTTTCACTATCAGTTTTCTGCGGAAAATCGTTTCCATTTTCGTCGCTTCCGCAGCGCCACACCGGTCTTTAATTGAATTAAAAGCTGTTATCAGTAGCGTAGTCTCTGGATGCGTGAAAGGGGGAGAGAAAGTTCGGAGAGGCGGGGAGATTATGGGGTAAAAGGGGAGACCGTTTTAAAGTTGATTTGTTTCGCTTCACTGGCTGCGAGATGCTCCAATCAATGCGGTTCGTTTCTATTTATATATACCAGCCAGCTGCTGCCATCATCAGGATATTATGACTATATGTGTTTCGGTTTTTTAAATTCAAAAATATGTTTCAGTATAAACTTGATCCTGAGACTGAGAAGGAGATTTTTCTTATGATTGCTAACACTGCAAGAGAAGAAGAAGAAAGATTTATGAGAGACTCCAGTCAGAGCCCAGAGGTGCAATCTTCAAATAAGCTGGTTTGAATTAGGATTCATTCTGTATTAAAGAAGCAATACCAGGACGTACCTGAAAGTACGTTTACCAGCAAGTCGAGTTTTGATTTTTGTCGTTTTTCTTTTTGATTTTTTGAAGGTTGGATCTATTCCAGGCTCTCAAGCTGAATAATTCAAGAATTCATAAGTTATCTCTGTCACTGATGGTTCGAAGAAAGCGCTACAAATGGCCTACTAAAGTTTTTTAAACTGTCAAAGTTAAGGTGTTTTCATTTTGCTGCGAAAGACTTATTTGAAAATAGTGGAGTGAATTTACTCTAAATGACTCTCATTTTGTTATAGTAGCCGAGTTCGTTTTTGTCATTTTCGTCGATTTACTCCGAAATTTTGACAGACACCTTATTTGTGAATTGAAAATGTCTGATCCCGTCAATATTTCGGAGCAAATCGACTAAAAGATGATAAAAACGAACGCGGCCACTATAAAATAACCTCATGAGAGAGGGTGCAACTTAACGAAAATACTATAATTGACATGATTATTTGTCTATCCCAGGCTCTTGAGCTCCTCCCTGTTTTCTTTAGTTTTTCAATTCAAGAGCCGGAAATAAGAAAACTATTAATTTTGTCTCGACTTTTGTCTATTCCAGGCTTTCAAGCTAAAAAATTTAAGAATTCATAAGCTATCTCTGTCACTGATGGTTCGAAGAAAGCGCTACAAATGGCCTACTAGATTTTTTTAAGTTGAGGTGTTTTCATTTTGCTGCTCTAGACTTATTTGAAACGTGTGGAGTGAATTTACTCTAAATTACTCTATTTTTGTTACACTATAAAATAACCACATGAGAGAGGGTTCAACTTAACGTAAACGCTATAATTTGTGTTGATGTAGAAATTCATCATTTTTGTCTCAATTATTTGTCTGTTCCAGGATCTTGAGCCCCTTTCTGTTTTCTTTAGTTTTTCAATCCAAGAACCGGGAATAAGAAAATTATTAATTTTGCCTCATATTTTGTCTATTCCAGGCTCTCAAGCTGAAAAATTCAAGAATTCATAAGCTGTCTCTTTCCCTGATGGTTCAAAGAAAGCGCTACAAATGGTCTACTAATTTTTTTTAATCTGTGAAAGTTGAGGTGTTTTCATTTTGCTGCCCGAGACTTATTTGAAACGTGCGGAGTGAATTTACTCTAAATGACTTTATTTTTGTTGCACTATAAAATAACCACATGAGAGAGGGTGCAACTTAACGAAAACACTATAATTGACATGACTACTCAAAATGTCAAAGTTTAGGTGTTTTCTTTAGGCTGTTCATCATTTATGTCTCAATTATTTGTCTATTCCAGGCGCTTGAGCTCCTCCCTGTTTTCTTCAGTTTTTCAATTCAAGAACCGAGAATAAGAAAACTATTAATTTTGTCTCGACTTTTGTCTATTTTAGGCTCTCAAGCTGAAAAAATCTGTCTTTGTCCCTGATGGTTCAAAGAAAACGCTACAAATGGCCTATACTAGATTTTTTTAAACTGTCAAAGTTGAGGCGTTTTCATTCTGCTGCCCGAGACTTATTTGAAACCTGTGGAGTGAATTTACTCTAAATGACTCTATTTTTGTTGGACTATAAAATAACCACCTGAGAGAGGGTGACAAATACTGAAGAAATGATCGACTCTCAAGAACATAGTGCACATACGGTCAGTTCTTATAAAGCTGGTCTGCAGGAATATAATGTAGGCTAAGTTTGTAGCGCTACTTTGGTTTTCCGGTAAGAAAGCGGTCGGTTCGGGGTTTTCGGAAAGCTCGGGCGCCACCCTTAGGATTATAGTGGTTAAGGGCCCACGTGCTCTAGGTAGCTTTTAAACAGTGGAGACGGAAAACCAGAGATCCCTACGCTTTTCCCAAAAATGAAACACACAATCCAACCAAAAAAGTAGTTTTTATTGTCTACCCAAAAATTTATAATACATTAAGGAAATGCAAGAAAACTTAATTAAGATAACAGGTTTAATAAAAGGAAAGGCTAAGCAGAGAGTGAGGGGCGAACGAAGTGCGTGTCCTTGTCGGGTTAGTCGCGTGAATTTAACGGCTCGAGATTACGGTACGGTAACGGTTACGGTAAGGGTGAATCGGCAAAAGAAAGTTCCAAGAACCATGATCGGTCCAGCTCCTACACCGTCAGCTTGCAGGATTAGGTCTTTGGGCCTCGTGCGCGAATTCTTAATTCGAGCAGAATGCAGGTAAGACAGAGAGAAGAGGTCGTACTACAGCCTGTAGTTCTCTTTACTCTGTCACAGAGCGAACCGAGCTGCCCTGTGTGTGTTCCAGCCCGCAGTTCTGGTCACTCCGTGCACAGAAGAGAGAAAGAAGAACTGTGTAGAATAAAGCTCGCTACCCTGATGCCAGCCCGTAGCGTGCGTTATTCTGTCACGGAAGGAACAGACCTGCCTTGTGTCTGTTCCAGCCCGCAGTTCCGGTCACTCCGTGCACAGAAGAGAGAAAGAAGACATGTGTAGAATAAAGAGCGCTACCCTGATCCCAGCCCGTAGCGTCTCTTATTCTATCACAGAAGGAACAGAGCTGCCCTGTGGGTGTTCCAGCCCGCAGCTCCGGTCACTCCGTGCACAGAAGAGAGAAAGAAGAAATGTGTAGAATAAAGAGCGCTACCCTGTTGCCAGCCCGTAGCGTCCTTTATTCTGTCACGGAAAGAACATTGCTGCCCTGTGCGTAGTTAGTCAAATTAGAAGAACGGGAAGGGTAAGAAGAAGGTCTCCTATTTAGAGGATTTTATTTAAAAAAAAAGGAGAAATGTGAAACATTACCAGAAATACCTACCAGGACATACCTGAAAGTACGTTAACCAGCAAGTCGAGTTGTGACTAATACCATATTGATTGTCATTGTATTTTACTGTTGAATTTAATAAAATCTTTTCAAATGCAAATATTGTTGTAGTTAATCCGGACTACAACACTCACAAATGAGAAGAAATCGCCGACGACAATGAAAACATGAAAATAACACAATATGAGAATTTGGTCCAGGAACAAGAAGGGCATCATGGCGTTCGAAGATAACTGATATGTTCTTATAGAGAAGTCCAGATGATTATGATGTCGTCCATGTAAACGAGACATATTTTTCCTTGAAGATCTTTGAGGACATTATCCATGACCCTTTGGAAGGTTGCTGGTGCATTTTTTAGACCAAATGGCATTCCGATATAGGTACTCGAAATATCCATTTTTGACATTGAAGGTTTTCTTTGAAATAGAATTTGGATCCATTTTGATCTGATGAAACCCTGAAGCCAAATCGAGGGTTGTGAAATATTGTCTAATATGTTAGAGATGTTGGGAGTTGGATAAAGATCATCAATCGTTTCCTCATTTATTTTATGATAGTCAATTACGTACGCCATTTTTGTTATCCCGAGGCGACTTGCTTCTTTGAAGAAGAAGACCAAGGCTCAAAAGATGGGCGTATAATTCCACTTCCAAGGTCAATGGACAAAGAAGGAATGTCCTCGTAACTTATGGGCAACCTAAGAACGAAAGGAAACTCTTTAATGGGGCAAAGATAACGGAAGACTGAACACATTACAACCAAGCTCTCCCTGATTACAACTCATGGAGGAACTTCGCAAGCTGGACGCCTTCATAGAATACTTGCAAAGAACTCGTGTAACATCAAGAACCCTGAAACGCCCGACGCAAGAGTATACGAATTCTGGAAAAAGAACTCTGGAAATATTGCTCCAAACACACTTTCCAGATTCAAGAATCAGTCAAACTGCCAGCTGAGCAAGTATACATAGGCCTAGGAAAATAGTAGTGCTGCCAGTTCTACTGATTTATTAGTAGATCTACTGATTTGGCCACTGGTCTACTGATATACTGATATCAATGTAAATTCTACGGATAAAAACCGTTGTCATCAACAAGTTATTCAAGTACAAATGAGTGAATTGTTGCGGAACTTATGGGTGGACCTCTGCGGGACGAGCGCAGCGAGTTCCGCAGCTATCTATTCATCAATATGTCGTTTAATTACGATATTAACCTGACTCACTCAAGTGTGAGGTATTCTCATAATTTTTAAAACTACATGTTTCAGGTGAATGTCTTTTTTCAACAGTTCAGCAGTATATTGGTGAGTAGATGACTGCGGAACTCGCTGCGCTCGTCCCGCAGAGGTCCACCTATAAGTTCCGCAGCAATGCACTTATTTATAAAGTCAGAATTTGTAAGATTATCCACTTTTTGTTAATTCGCCTTTCAACAGGTATTAGTAATGTTACTTTACCAAACTAGTAATATATTGTGACAAGTTATTCAAGTACAAATGAGTGAATTGCGGCGGAACTTATGGGTGGACCTCTGCGGGACGAGCGCAGCGAGTTCCGCAGCCATCTATTC